CTGGTTACCCCGCGCATGTTCTTGTTTCGGTGGCGGAAAAGCTGGTCACTGTCTTGAAGCGAGGCGACAAACCGGATAAGCGAAACAGTGGCAAAAAGAGCCGGCCTGTCGTACTGCCTTACGTGCACGACGTATCACACAGGCTAAAAAAGATTGCTCGAGACGCCAACGTTTTTGTGGTTTTTTCTGCCCCGGAAAAATTGCAGAGGCTTTGCAAACGGGTCAATGCACCTCGTGCAAATTCTGCCTCGTGCTCTGTCGCGCACAGGACACGCTACGTCCCATGCGCAGTGGGAGTCGTTTACTTGATTCCACTGACGTGTGGGTGCATCTATGTCGGGCAAACCGGCAGGTGCATAAATGACCGCCTCCGAGAATACCGAAACAATGTGCACAATGTGGTACAAGGGCATCTTGGCATTCATTGCCGAGATTGTGGGTGCACCCCTCTCTTTGATCAGTGCTCCATATTGGCAAGGCACAGGGATCAGCTTACCCGAGAAATTATTGAAGCCGAAAAAATACACATGCTAGGAGATAAATGTGTAAGCACATCATCGATTTCTTTATCACAGTCTGAACGTGATTACCTAGCTCGGCTTTGAGGCAATAGAGGACCTGTCACACGTGTTTTGTTACTGATGTGTAGATTAGGGTGCATTTTACCTTCATGCTCTGTTATCATCCTTTTTTAGCAGTATATATTCTTGCCACTCTGTGAAATAAAGTTAGTTGGAAGTCAGCGCTCTTTCTGTCTACCCTGTCCTTTTTCCTTTGTTCGCGCGCTGAAACATCTTGCAAATATGACTACGCACCAACTAGCCCAAGTTTCCACTCTTGTGAGTTCAATTAATGCGTTATCTAAAGTTCCCCGTCAGGCCTGTATTTCAATGGACACCTTGAGGAAAAACAAACATGAAGTAGATCTTCAATAGGAGATAACGTATCGGAGCAAAGACTCATTATATGCACTTATTAATTCTATGAGACAATAAAGACTGCGTATGCCTGTTTATAATTGCATCTCCTTCTCCTGCTTCCAAATTTCATGATGATGTAGTTCTTTGCACTGTTGGACATCCTCACGGCAGCGAGTTTGAAGAAGTGCCCAATGTTTAAAGGTATGCGAAGCCACTGGAAGACAGAGTTCGGACTTTTCACTAGACCCGCCACCGAGATATTATTGTTTCGCGCGTTTTGTATGCTTGCGAAACCCGCACCTGTTCTGTTATCAAACCACGGATCGCAGCTCCATTAATAATTATTTCATCATAATCATAATTGTCACTGAAAACATACTCCCGTAATTATCAAAATGTTAATTAGGTAGATGTGTGAATGTTGAAACGACATCTGTCTGAGCTGCTTTCAGCAACGTACACTTTGCGTTGCTCATTTTTCGCTGTTTATTTTTCCTGTTTATTTTTTCCTGTAAACACAAAAAATAACACGTGACCAGACCACTACGCACATTGAAAAGAAGAGCCCCCATATGAGTTCACTTTGAGATAGCCACCAGCGACGAAGAAAATATAAAAAGAAAAATGTACGAATCGCACTATCTGCCCCTTCCCGCCCGAACAAACGTGCTGCGCCGCTTTGACCTCACACAGTGAAGCACCAATCGCTCTAATCAGAACAGTGATTCGGCCGCGAACAGTTGAACGTGACGTATGACGTGATAGCGATCTACAGCCGACCGCAAAAGTTTGCGGACCACGTGCGCGTGCCAAACTGCCTGTCCGTGCCACCTAGCGGTGCGCCATCTACTGTCGACCGTAGTTCTTGGCCGCAAACGGGTCGTCTTCTTATTCACTGGCCTGTAAGTTTTTCTACTGCTACGTGGCGCACTGTTAGTTTGCGGTTTTCACGTGAAGCGCTTATCTGCAGTATGACCGTCACATTGCTGTTTTCATAGGAGGATCGAAATTGTCACGGCGTGCCTCAAACGGCGTTCCTTTGGCTAGGTGTCACTTAGTGATTAGGATTGCGACAGATAACAGTTATGCTCATAGACTGCTTTCCAGGCATAAGCTCGTAGACGCAGATGCCGAACGTGGGGTGCGTTGAAAAGCAAAAGGTGAAAAATATTTGTACTAAGTCAGAAAATAGACAGGCCATCAATTAGGGGAGGGATGCTTTCAAGGCGCTGCGGTGCTTCCAACCACCGCTGACGTAGCAGAAGTGTCGTGAAGAAGCTTTCAGCCACGCGCTCGCATGGTCCGTAAATATTTGTGATCGAATGTACAACCAAATGGGAGGAATCCCGGCAAAACTGCGATACATGCTGTTGGCACCCGACCTGTAACCCTTGCCGATGTGCAAAACGCTGACTCTGGCATCGGGGGGGAGGGGGGGGGTTATGTTGTAAGAAGGAAAAGAAAAGAAAAGTGAGCCCCGTAACTGTATGCTTCAGGGAGCGACACCTCAACAGTAGGTATCAAGGGATGGGGGTGAGGAGGGATTGAAAGGATAGGAATAAAGGTGTAGAGAGAGAGAAAGAGAGATGAGGTAAGCGTAAAAGCGTGAAAGCGGCGACATATCGAGGGGATAGAAGAGGTAGGAAAAATTGAAACACGGTCACTGGAGTCCGAGGACGGGGAACCACTTGCAAGAGCTCTTGTCGGCGTCAGGAGGTGGTGTAGAGCAAGTCCAGTTGGTCAGAGCTACGCTGACGTAGGAGATCGCGAGGGCACAACCGGTCGGCACGGAATCCAGCGAGTGAGTGCTGGCAATGGAAAAGAGGCAATTCGATTGCTTCCCGCAAGATTATTTGAGGGCGCTGCTTTCATTGACAGGTGCGAGCGCAGTCACGTGTTATTTTGTTTAGAAAAAGTTGTTACCGATTTAGAGTACTACGTACTCTACTATGGGAGAGCAGCTTCTAATATCGGCACTCGTTCGTCCCTCGTAGCCGTAATACTAGTGTGTAACCAGTATTACATTTTGACCTCCAAGGTGGTTCCGGTGAGAGATTTTTTCTGTGCGTTGTTGAACAAGAAAAGATAGTGCTCATTGTACATGCCAATGGCTGCTAAGGGCGAATGAGAGACCGGAGAATTCGGCTTTTAGTTAACGCGCACGCTGCGAATTTTTTATGGTTCAACAACGCACAGATGAAAAGAAACGGTTGCTACGTTATAGTCGCTGGGCATAACCTCCTAGGTTTTAGAAAGGTTTAGCGAGCGTTGGGCCGCACTGACATAAATACAGTGAACTAGTATATACCATGAACTCGAAGTGGTTCAAGGTGAGAAGTAGATAGGAAGAGCAAGCCGCAAGAAAGTGCTCGTGTGTCTCCTCTAGTTCAGTCCTTGGAATGTCCGCTGGATGGCGGTACTTCTATATAAGGAATATATGACGAAAAGTTGCGAGATGGTGGTACTTGGAGTGTTCAATAGGTGGACGAAAGGACACACAGACAGATGAATGGACGGACGCACGGATGGCTGCACGGACGGATGGACGCATGGACGGACGCAGGAGCGGATGCATGGACGAAAGCAGGGACGGACGCACAGATGAACGTGCAGACGCATGAACAGACGCGCGCACAGACGGGCGGATGAATCACACATGAACGTGCAGACGCACGAACAGACGCGCGCACAGACGGGCGGGTGAATGCAGGGGCGGCTACACAGACGCACGCATGGATGGACGGAAACAAGAACGAATGGACGGACGGATGCTTCGCCCCACTATACATAATTCCCTCGGTGGATACGCTGCCATTTTTTCATATTTTGCAGGCTTTTTTTCTTTATTGTCAGAAAAATGAGCACGCAAATAATACATTGATGGAAGTATAACAAAGGCAGGTGTCATTTCAAGTCGTAAACATCTGCCTCGTTGACGCTCTGATTAGGCAAGTACTTTTCGATTTACAAGTATAAGTAGAATAATGATATGATAGAAATTACCGAAAATATTAGCAACACATGTTTCCATCGCGTAACGCCGGTCCTGTTATCTTGTTAATCGTGCTGCGTAACAATGAATACTACGCCATATATATATATATATATATATATATATATATATATATATATATATATATATATATATATATATATATATATATATATATATATATATATATATATATATATAATGAGATCCAACAGACAATAATGCCAAGGGATGTATAGGGGAAGTTATTAGAACAAATGTAATGTAAATAAGAAGAAAGAAAAGAAGAAAAGTGGGTGAAAAAATAACCAGCCGTGAGCAGGAATCGAATCTACGACCTTCGAATAACGCGCTCAATGCTCTGACCACTGAGGTATTACAGCGGCCTTCCCCCAACCCACTTTCTTGTGTTTATATGTGAAGTTAAACGTGGGAGTGTCAGTCAGCGCCATTTGTAGCCAAACGGCGAGTGTAGACGATAGTTATAGCGCGAGAACAAAACAACGACACAGAGAAAAGAAGGACACGAAATACTTCTTGTCTCTGTGTCGTCGTTTTGTTCTCGCGCTATAACTATCGTCATGCCATACCAACTAGCCCAAGCGGCCACACTTCTAGGCGAGGGTAGAACATGGCGAGCGTTCTACACTCGCCGTTTGGCTACAGATGGCGCTGACTGACACTCCCACGTTTAACTTCACATATAAACACAAGAAAGTGGTTTGGGGGAAGGCCGCTGTGATAGCTCAGTTAACAAAGAAAAAAAAGCTGTGATAGCTCAGTGGTCAGAGAATCGAACGCGTTATTCGAAGGTTGTAGGTTCGATTCCTGCTCACGGCTGGTTAATTTTTCACCCTTTTTTCTTTCTTCTTATTTACATTAAATTTGTTCTAATAACTTCCCTATAAATTCCTTGACATTATTGCCTGTTAGATCTCATTATTATTGTGCCAAAACACGGAAAAACGAGCCCTTAGGTATACACCTCTTTCCCTTATATATATATATGCAATTGAAGCAGAACCCAATAATGAAAAGCGTTGAGCGAGAAAGAAAGAAAGAAAATGGAAAACTAAATGAATGCAGACCAATGGGGGCTCCCGGCAGCGGTTTCGAAATTCGGCGATGGTGAGGTTTCCGGTGATGCAACCGATTATCAGCTTCTCGGCCATCACCTGGTCAAACTGGAAGTGTGCAAGACGACATGTTTAAAAGATTATCCAGCACTGATGTGTGAATACGATAGATTAATTGATTGACTGATCATAATCTTATAAACTAATGCCGAGACGAAAACTAAGAGACACGTGGTTATATTGATTCATAGATTAGTTCTGACCTGTTCATCAGGTGGCGTGCAAATTTATTAAACACACGTCTTTCTGCACTTCACCCCGACTGAAATTTCATCGGTGCAGTCATACATTAAAAGAGTGACATAAAGCGAACAGGTTTTATGACGCTGAGGACAACTGATTCGTCTATGAGTGGTATTACGGTGAAGGATGACAAAACGGGAACGGCAGTTTCGACTCAATATCGTGATAGCCTTTTCACAATTCCCGGCATGCCATACCCGTCATCGTCGTCTAGTAATTGGGTTCACGCTCGTATGCTGACCCGCACGTCGCGGTACTTAGTGATGGCTGTGGTGGCCACAGTTTAGATGGAGGCGACAATTGTAGAGGCCGGTATGCTTGGATTTGGGTGCATGTTAGACTTCAGGTTGGTGAACTTTCCGGAGCCTTCCACTATGGTACCTCCTGTGACCTTCTGGATGTGAAACACAGAACCTTGGTTATAATTAATATTATTATTATTATTATTATTATTATTATTGTTGTTGTTGTTGTTGTTGTTGTTGTTGTTGTTGTTGTTGTTGTTTTTCTTGTTGTTGTTCAGGTACCATTTCGTCATTAAATTTACAAATGGGTAGCAGAATATCAATATAGGAAAAAAATGTCATTAGGGGATTTATGTTACTGTTTAGCATGCATCCAGCCACGACACGTGTTGCTCCTTCGTTCAGCGGCAAGCAATACGTTCGTCAGCATGACTCTGAAACACCTCTGTATTGCAGCACGAGTTCAACATTCCGCCATTTCTCATAACTACGCGAATCATGCATGATCAAAAGCATTTTGATGCTTCGAAGTATAGCTCACTATAGTTTGATTGTCAACCGTTCACTGGCAGTCGATCAGTAGTCAAAGTCCTCGGCTGCATACCAGGAGGCTCGCGGGTTTCTTCCCGGCAGCAGGGTAGGGCATTTTGGTGGACGGGATTTGTTATAGGTCCATACGCTGTGCGATTGTTAGTGCACGTTCAAAAAACGCCAGATGGTCGCAATTTCCTGAGCCCTCCACTACAATGTCCCTCAATCTTATCATGCGTTCGGAGGTAGGAGGTAAAAATTGGGTTATCATGCTTACCTATCATTGTAAATGTAGTTGTAACGCTATTCATTGCTCCTAGAATTAGCTGCAATAGTGAAAGCGAATGGTGCGAGTACGCTATGGATAACGCTGAGCGCCCGCAATCCTCTCAACCCATCTGGTTCTCACCGAAGACTGGCATGTGTTTGTACGTGTACGGGACTTCGCTTTTTCTCTTCTCCTCATTACCTATACCTTCCAAACTCTCCGCAGCCTGTTGAAGTTTACTGGAGCCCCCGCCTACCATAGGGGCATCAGCCTAGGGAGCAAAGGGAGCGCGAGTCCCCCCCCCCTCCCCTCCCAACTCCTGAGAAAAGTTGGGGGAGGGCAGACTACCCACCCCCCTCACTTTCGACAAGTGGTCACTTTTGGCTGCACGCTGAGATTGGCAACGTCATGAGTGCGGTGAAATTGTATGCAAAACATTTTAGCTGTGTGGTGATATAACTTTTACTTCTGCGTGCGTGTGTGCATAGTCTGCGCGGTAAAGCTGTTAGATAAATCGTGCCGCTTGACATGAGTACTGCTCCTCGGCAATTTGCATTCACCTTTAATGAGTCAATGCTGGACATTCCGGCTAATGACCATTGGGTGAAGAAGGAAGAATGAGCGCGTTCAGCGAAGGTTCGTAGAAAAAGACATGTCCTTTTGGTTCTTCATACTCCGATGACGAAGTCAAGTTGGTTGAGCGCACAAGCATGCCCTACTTACGGCTCATCGATTGTAAAAAAAAAAACGCTGTCCCGACAATATTAGTAAAGCCCTTCTGCTGCTTACGTAACCCCACTGAAGGTTGGCCACGCTGTGTGCATGGCGTCGTTGCGGCACTACAGCACAGTTGCGCTAGTTCAAGAAATGGCCAAATTGAGATACGGGTGGCGCAGTCTGGCAATTAGTCAAATCGCAATCGATGCTATAATAGTGTTTTACGTGATCGCCCTCTCTGCCAGACTAAGTAGAAGATGTAACAAAAAAAGCTAGCTTCCCAATAATCTGGCATACTAGATTATGGCGGCTCTAGTGATCCGAGTGCAAGCCATTTTGTGCCGCACGGCAACACGACACGAAGTGCCCTGTATAGTGTCCGTGTCTATGCCTATACGCCGAGATTGCACTCTGTGCGCGTAGACTCACAAAAAATAAAGTGCACTTGCGACAGCCTGTAAACGTTACCAGACAGCTAAAGAAAAACATGGGAGCATGCGGTAGCACACCTACATTTTTCAGCCTCATCGACCATACGTTAGACTATATGCGTAGATTGGCCGTTAAGCAAACGCTGTTGGTTCAGCTTTCTTTCGATCGAAGGGGCCACTAGTTACACTTGAAAACGCGACGAACTGCAGACACCTTTCGCTTATGTGTTACGGTCTATTCGGCCGCACTGAGACTGGCGCTGAGCAAACCATTCGGATAGCTGGAGGTTGATTAGGGTATCGTGGTAAGTTTGGTGCGAAAGAACTCGAAGCACAGAAGGAGGAAAATGGTTCTGATGCTTTCCGCACGCGCACAACGCTGACTTAACCATTAGAGTGTACACCTAGCAGGGTGGTTATCACTATGGCAATGTCCTACATTCATTTTGAACGACTGCTCTGCACTTGACTTATTTATTAAAGTGCGGCAAACAATTATCAGAAAGAACAGAGCAAGGGCATGTTGCATTATGTTGGAGGGTCTTGGTGCTTATCGCTGTTCATAATTTATTGGTATTGCAAACACCACATAGATTCTCTGGAACTTGCTCTGCTCGCCATGTACCCTCGCTGGACGTTGCGTGTGTAATATACGTACATCGGGAAACTAGCCTCAGTGAGGCGTTTAGTTTGCTTATTAAAGCTGGACCGAATCATGTGATGATTCAAAAACGCTCTGTGAAGGTCCTGCCATCAGATGATTCGGTCCAGTTTTAATCAGCAAACTAAACGCCTCACTGAGGCTGGTTTACCGATGTACGTTCTCACCACCGTTGCTGAGCGTTTACTCCGAGAAATCAGAATGAGCCCACAGAATAATGCTCGAACCCAAACAAAGGATAAAGGACGGGAGAAACAAAACTTTGTTGTTATTCCCTATGTCCACAACGTCACCACCAACCTCAAAAAAGTGGCCGCAGGTGCGACGTAGACCTGGGTTTTTCTGCCTGGAAAAGCTGGATAGGTTGTGCAAGGCCGTGAACATTGGTTCCAGGGGACAGCGGGATGCAAAATGAAGCATCGGAAGAAGTACGTTTCATGCATCTAAGAGGTGGTGTACTCTTTACCCCTGTCTTGTGGCAAGTGGTACATCGGCAGCTGTTTAAATCAGTGGCTGAAAGAGAACGCTCACAACGTCTCTTTTACAGTATCGGGCCACCTCGGCATTCATTGCCGAGACTGCGGTTTTGTCTCCGATTTTCAGCATTGTATCGTCATTAGGCGTCATCGGGACCAGATGATACGCGAAATTTATGAGGCTGCAGAAATAGAAAGTCTGGGCAGTGCATGTGTCAGCAGGCCTTCGATTGTTCTATCACAAAAAGAAATTGATTTTCTTCAGAACGATGGCACACGTGTCGTTCATGACGCGTTATCACGATGATTACTCGGTTGTTAGGTGAATTCTGTTTTCCTTGATTTGTATTTTCTCTTTTTTGTCAGATACTGCTCATGTAATATATTGCGCAGTTCCAGCAAATAAATCTTGTTGTAAGTCAATGCCGCTGTCTGTCTCCTTCTTTCTTGTTTCTCGTTATTGGCGCTGTTATTTATGGGAACCATAAATTTGCACAAGTTATTTCAAGAAAACAGACATAGAAAACGTATCACAGGCGAGAAAAAGAATGTGTTCGCTTTTTCAATTAAGTTGACCACCGGAGCGTCTCTAAATGGATGATGACGTAAGGTAGTTTAATTTCTGTTTGCAAAGCTTCAGCTGGTTTGAAGAATTAAAACGTTGCAAAAATCTTTGGCTTTCCGACAGCGTAGTCTGCTTACTTTTTTTGGACGTAGATGGTACTATGTTACAAGATTCCATGATGTCAGCGAGTAATTACGCTTGGGGTGGAAATATTGGTTCTATAAGTAACTACTTGTTGTTCAATTCTGCCGGTTCCTTCTCTTACCCCCTTCACTTGAGCAGGACAGCTAACCGGAACTTGGTTGACCTTCTTGCCTTCCCTCTGCCTTTCTCTCTTTATCTCCTGTTCTACGATACACGATGACTGCGATCGCAAGCATTAATTTATTTGCATTGAAGAAGTCTAAATAACTACACAAGCGCAGCAAGTGCCATTCGTTTGCAATCTAACATCCCTAAATAGAGAAAATTACAATGAGATTAGAGCTGTGGGCTGAAGAGACTGCTTCAGTGCATAATTTTATTGTAAATTACAACAGAAAGCCGCTGACTGCCACGGTGGCGTTTTCACAGCCAGTGACTCCTGCCTCTGTAGACGTTCTCAGCGGCAATATTCAATCGTGGCAAATACGCAGTGTCCCGTATTTAGGTTAAAATTATTTTTTTCTAATTGTGTTTTAATTACCTAATTAGTTGACTCTACTTTTCGAACTGAATAGGCAACACTTCAGTCTTCGAGTAAATTATAGAGGCTGTTTTTTTTAGACAATACAGGTTTCTTTAATAATTCTGCGGCAGTCACTTCATATGCGTGAGCATGGGGCTGCACAATGGGACTCGCCCCACACCAATGTCACATACATCAGTAATAACCCCCTTCCCTCCTGCCCGCGATGACAATGTAATACTACCGGTGTTTTACGTCCCGAAACCACGATGCGGCACAGGAAGTGGAGGGCTCCGGAAATTTCGACCACCTAGAGGTCTTTACCGTGCACTTACATTGCACAGCACACAGGCCTCTTGCGTCACCGCGACGACACGCACATTATCACGCCCCAAGACTAAATCCGGCTAATAGCTTAAACTCCAGCACGTGTAGTCTTCGCACACAAACCCTACAGGTTGCGGCAGAAACTCTTTGCTATCCCCCCAGTCTCACTGAGATAACTAATTGAAGAATCGAATATATAACCATTTATAGTTATCTTGCGGGCATCCTTTTACATGGAAGAGTCGTAGGACGTGAAAATGTACGACGTACCCTTTTTAAGACTTACCAACACACCCAGAATTAGTGATAACAATAATAATCGAAATTCATAGGCCCGGTCACAGCAATCTCAGAAGTGAGGGCACCGGGTGCCAGGGAAACTCCGCTGCATGTTGTGTTATGCTTGGACCAGGAGTTCATACGACGAACTCACAAAGTGAAAAAAAAAATGCGTAGCAGCAGAGTCAGGTTCGTGAAAATGGCAGATCACCTGAAATACACAAGTTGACTTCTCATACGACAAATGCGCCCAAGTGGTGACGATGAAAAACGCAATTAGTGATGTTCGTTGTTTGCTGACGCTTCTGTTTTCCTGTCGACATCGCGTTAGAGTCCATATCTGCCAAAAGAGCTATGGGCAGCAGTGGTCAATGAATATTTTATGTGAAATGATAATCACAAAAGCAAGCAAGCAAACAAACAAACAAACAAATGCGTGGTAAGTGACGAACAAACGTTGCCAACCATAGCCGCTGTCATGCAGCGTTGACAGCGATATTGTTGTCCCTCTCGGTGTCCTCCTTTACACCCAATTCATGGTGAACTTCCGGATACAGTCGATGTACAGAATGCCGCAGAGTGTCTTTCCAAATGTTTAAAGAAACTTTAAGTAAAAAAGCGACAAAAGCAAAGAGAGCAGAACAAAATAATTCTACCTTTCCTTTGAAGTTCTCTCGAGCACATTTGGAAGCTCCCTTGGATTCTCTCTCTGCAGCGAGCCAAGAAATAAAAAAACAAGTGAGGAAGTCGGTCAAATAAAGGAGGGCTTTTTTGATGGGCGATGCTGTACCCACGAAAAACAAGAGAAGATACACACACAAAAACATAAAGAAAAAACTTTGGTTGAATACATTGAGGAGGGACGGCGATGGCAGATTTTCCTCTAGCTGCTTCACTATAGCATGAGCGTTTACTCTGCCGTTTCGTCTAAGGTTCTTCGTTTGTAATAAATACCATTATATTGCGCTTAGAATGCCACGAACATGCACGTTAAAGTGATCCCCTTCTTTCAATGAAGTTAAGTAAAAAAGGTATGTATAGTTTTTTGATGGACGAGTGCTAAATTGCCACTGATTCTTTTTTCTACTAAAGAGCATTAGAAATGGTATATGTGGTTCATGAATTTGCGTTGTGAAAACAAACTCGTGTTATTGTACTTTTCACACAGACACTTCACGAACGAATTGCAGTCTCTCATTTTAGCTTGATAGTTCCTTATTATTTGCGAGCAACGAAATCATCGTATGATGTTTACTTTGCCGAAGCCCCAATCTCGAAGCTCAACAACAAAGGAGGATTGTAAGGCATGCGCGGGCTTCTTCAATTTCTGCCCGCATAAAGGGTGCAGGCTTACTTGTTTGTTCTGGAGGCTGAGGAATATCTTACACAAGGAAAAATCGTTGCTGTTATTCATCACTTTCAGCAGCAAAATTGCCTCATGAAAGTAAAGACATCAATATAACGGAAAGGTGGGCTAGTTGTTTAGGGTTCATAATGAATTGAATGGGGCCGCGTTAGGACGAATACACGAACGAGAAAAAAACACGACAAGTGCTGCCCATCAAATTCATTTTAAAAGCTTCAAAATTTTCTCAGGAAACAAGGCGACAAGAAACTTCTTATTTGCGATTTCTCTAAACAAAGACCTCAGAATATTCGTAGGCCGGGTCGCTGCAAATTCCGTCAAGCTTAATATTCTTGTCGCACGCACAATCAAAGTGAATTTAAAGCAGCGTAGGTACAGTGCAAAGATGTCCCGTTCTTTTCTTTCCCGGTTTGTTTATAAACACTCCGCGAATGGCTGACATTGCTCAGGCAAAGATCAGTGCTCTTGTTTGTTACGTGATCTAACAAGAAAGTTTGAGAACTCCCCTTCTCCAACTGCATGGCGAGGACATCTCAACTGCAACGTTAAGGGTATTGTGATGGAGGGACACAGATCTTCTAGTACGGCAGTCAAGTTTTCACCACTTACGTTTTTCAAGGGTCCTTGGAGAATTATGCGGAACGCTCGACGCTAACCAGAGACACACGAAGCTATCGTGAATAACACGTGCTACTTAACTGATCGTGTGGAAAATGACCGATTTGGCATTCACTGTTTGGCAGCGCTTTCATCATTCTGCTTTGACAGAAAGACTGACGCGACTGAAACATTTTCCAATGCATTGTAGTTGGTGTAGTTGTACAAAACGTCGCAACGTGTCGCTATCAACTTTGCAACTGCCTTCAGAGAGTGAGAGAGAGAATAAAAGGAGAGAAAGGCAGGGAGGTTAACTAGAAATTGAAGCATCCGGTTTGCTACCCCGCACTAAAAGAAGGGAGAATGGGAAATAAAGATGGGAAAGAAAGCGAAGAGCGAAATAGACGCGCGAAATAGAACGAAAAAAAAAACTGAGCTTGGGTGCTATAGCCTAATCAATAGGCCACTACCACGCAAAAAGTCCAAAAAGACCTTCACTGATTTTCTGCACAAAGACTGCCGTCAGCCACTCATTGAACCCTAAGAATGTAAACAGTAAGAAGTCTGCATTATAAAACTATGTTGTTAGAAGCAAAATCACCTATTGGCATAGTAGCCGGAAGATACTGCACGCAAAAAAGGAAGCCATTCGACGTGGAGATGTGAGCTCTCTTTTTCCGGTGTTCTCCTGTCGCTCTGGTAGTTAGCCTGAACTGACATCATTCAAACATGTGTGCGGATTGTAAGCTTTTGGCCAAGAGAGAAAACGTGAAGTTGTGTAAAAAAACAAAAACAAATCTATTCTTTTCCACAAACAAGAAAATAGTTGTAGCAAACGTCACGTGATTTGGCTGTGCCAAAATGATAAGAATGACCAGGCCGTGCGCTCTTTGATGTGGAGCAAAGCTGACCAAAAAAAAAAAAGCAGAAAAGATACAGAACGGAACATTTTTACGTTAGAGGGAGCCAATAAAATTCGACATTTTTTAAGGATTGCCTACTCATCATTCCCCGAGACATTACGGGTTAAATAAAATGTCTGGCCCTGCGAGAACCATAATACTTTTCTATATTGCTGGGAAAAATATTGTAATTAAATGTATGGGAAATAACCACTTTGCGAATTCCACTACAATTGGCGCTTTCGTGTTCCACTACCCTTGTGCTTTATGTTGAAATGATTTTGCAGAATAGTGTGACTTTTAGTCCCCAACAACGAGGTTAAAAATGTGCTAATTGCTGCATGTAATAAAACTACAAAAAAGCGTTCACTTGAAAAAAGAAATACCTGGAAATATGCTGTTACAACTGCCAATAAACCTATTATATTTTCAATTTATATTTCAGAACATGGTACACTTTTCAGCTGAGCAGAGGCTCTGAGATAGGAACATGAATTTCTAAAATGTGCTCCTTGGATTAAACTAAGACGTTTGTAACACATTAAGATTACCTGAGAAAATACGAAAGAAGATGCATATAATAGAGAAGCACCGAACGCATCATGTGCGCGTATGTGTGCAGATTTATTAATAATGTGAGCATGAGAAATCATGAGCAAAGTACCATTGTAAGGCATACTGGCCTGCCACCACTTCCACTAGAGGGGAATTACCTACTAATGCGTTTCGATAATTTCCGAAAGCTCTGTCATCGGCTTTGCGAGGATGTTAACGATACTTAAAACACCGGCATTCCACCTCAGCTTTCAATGTACATCTCTGGTGCGAACATCAGATCACTGCGATACTTCTTTTCGAGAGTACGCACCCAAATCACATCCGTGCGGTATGGGTTTCTGTCCTCTAGCGAAGAGCACGGCGACTGCAGCGAGAACCGAGAAGCTCCATAAGCAGACGGTTCCACCTTGCCGACACATGTTGCCGCCAAACGCAGCAGCAGCCCCGACGTTGTAGGCCTAACGCCCCTGCACCGTGCTTCTCGGGGGCGTTCTTGAAAAGAAATAAAGAAAAAAAGAGTTGCGACGCGGAGACGATGCGGACGCAGCGTGGCCGCATCGGTCGCGAGCGAGGCGCGCGTTAAGCGCATGCGCAAAGAGAGCAGCTTCTGGAACAGGAGTTGGAATCACCCGTTCTTTCTTCGAGAAGATTGCGCAAGCCGACATCATCATCTCTTAGTCGTGTTTCTTCTCCATATCGTATACATCCCGAACAAGCTTGTGAAACACGGTCCGTCGGTCGTTGTTGTGCGCGACCCTTAACAGCGAGTCGCCACAACGCTGTAGCTATAGATTGACGATTTTGTTCGTTCTTTAACGGCATCACGCTCTCTCCCCCTCTCCTGACTTCTCTCCCTTGCCCTCACTCCTTCTACATCACCACGGTACGTCTCTCCCCTTTCCTGTCTACTATAGCGAATTCCTCTGTACAACACTCCGTGCTTTCCTGCTTCACCGTTTCTGTCCCGCAATCTCGATTTCTTTCTGTTTTTGTACACCCCTTTTCTCGACGCCTCTTACGACGTTGTTCGGCATGAATGCGCGATGCATTTGGGCTCTTTTCATACGCGCGTTACCCTGATTTACTGGCCCGTCTTTCCGTGTTTTTCTTCTCCTCCTTTTTCCCCGTGCTCCCGTTACGTCGCTCTTTGCTTGATCCCCTCACTCGTCCATTCGAGCTCCTCTCTGCAGCCCTTACAGCTCTATGCACGTGTTGCTTATCAAGTCGGCCACTATGTTGTGCTCACGTATGAAAGAGAGGACTCGGTAAAAGGAGGAGTTAGAGGAGACAGACACAGCCAGAAAGAGAACGAAAAAAAAAAGGAGAGCTTCAAAGACAGTTCGATGAATCCCTGACTCGCATTTCCATTGAATGCTCCCTCTCTCGTCTGCGACTTTTCAAAAGCACCTCCGCAAGATGCGTCTGTCAGAGCGATCTTGGCGTCGGATCGACGGCAATTTACGGACGTCAGGTGCGATTCTTTGTGTGTGTGTGTGTGTGTGTGTGTGTGTGTGTGTGTGTGCGTGTGCGTGTGCGTGCGTGTGTGTGTGTGTGTGTGTGTGTGTGTGTGTTCACTAGCCCACGCACGCACGCCGGTTTCACAATAATCATGGCGGAGAGCCCGAGACGCGCTCCGAGCACCGGGAGATGATAGTGCAGACCCAGCTCTTATGTATAGACGGGCGCACGCCGTCTTATTGTGTTTAATCTAGGTTGGTGCGGCGATATGCGGAATCTGAAGCGAGGCGGGAGAGATCAAATGTGTTTTCTTCATGCAGCGAAAATAACGACCATGTTGCCTGTTTTTTGTCCTGTTTTTTTCTTGGTTTGCAGTTTATTTTCCGTGTGGCGTTTGAAGCCGGACGGCAGCTTGTAATTCTATTTTCCTCGGCATGCGTCGAATGTCTCGAAAGGAATTGCGCAAATAACGAATGAAGGGTGACGGTCGGATAGAGTCTTTCGAGAAATACATTTCGCTTCAGTATATAACGTAGGCCAAGAAAAGCATGTATCGACCCGGTTTTTCCGTTTCCATAACGAAAATATACATATTTGAAGCATTCATAACAGAATAGCCACCATGATACAGATGCAGTCAAAGCGTACACAGGAAAAACAAAAGCAAGACACAGACACACACGTGTGCACAAACATGCACATGCAGACTCTCGCACGAGCACACGCACAGACACGCACGTGTGCACACACAAACTCAAACACTGCCTTTCAGATTGACACGCGCAGTGGGACAAACACGTGTGCCCATTCGCAAAGCTAAACCATATTCAGTGTAACGCAACAAATACCTTTCCTCTCGGGGCTTACGGTACCATCATGTACGCCAACCATTTTTGCCACTACATTCCGTACACGTGCGCGCCTCTTTGAACCTAGAAAGCGAGCGTTGATGCTAACAACTCTAGAAAAAAAAATGGCCCCGTATTTGCATTTAATCTGCAAATGTCGTCGAAAGACGATAGTCTTCCGTGTGGAGAGAGTGAACAAAACATTTATTTGATGTTCTGCTCAAGAAAATCGGTGAATTGTATTCTGGAGGCGCTGCGTTGGAGTGCCTCGAGCGTGCAGCGGAGGCGAACGAGCGCATCAAGTCACGTCGCACGTGAGACATGAGCGCCATCTGGCAGTTTTTAGGGGCGAAGCTCTTTATAACAACACACGTTCGTGCCTCGTAGCCGTTGTAGTGTGTAACAAGTATAACATTTTGACCTTCAAAGTGGTGTCTGTGAGAGATTTCTTCTGTGCGTTGTTGGAAAATAAAAAAATAGAGCTCAATGTACATCTCAATACCTGCTAATGGGGAATGAGAGACAGGATCATTCGGCTTTTTAGTTAACGCGCACGCTGCGATCCCCATAAGCAGCCATTGGCATGTACATTGAGCACTATCTGACAAGAAAGGGTTGCTACGTTATACTCGCAGGGCGTCACCTCCTTAGTTTTAGAAAGGTCTAGCGAGCGTTGAGCCGCAGTGCCATGAATACAATGAACTAGTATATACCATGAATGAACTCGAGGTGGTGAAAGGTGGGAAGTAGATACGAAGCGCAAGCCGTGAGAAAGTAAAAGCCGAATTCTCATGTCTCTCATTTCCCATTAGCAGCCACTGGCATGTACATTGAGCACTATTTGACAGGAAAAGGTTGCTACGTTATACTCGCTGGGCGTAAACTTCTTGGTTTTAGAAAGGTTTATCGAGTGTATGGCCGCAGTGCCATGAATACAGTGAACTAGTATATACCATGAACTCGAGGTGGTTAAAGGTGGGAAGTATACCCGAAGCGCGACCCATAAGAAAGTGTGCGTGTGCCACCTCTCGTTTAGTCCTTGGAATGTCCGCTGGATGGCGGTGCTTCTACATGGGGAATATATGATGAAAAGATGCGAGATGGTGGTACTTGGAGTGTTGAATAGATGGACGAACGGACACACAGAGAGATGCATGGATGGACGCATGGACGAACGCAGGGACGGACGCACGAACAGATGGGCGGATGGACGCATGGACGTTCACACAGATGGACGCATGGACGGACGGAAGCAAGAACGAATGGACGGACGAATGCTTCGCCCCACTCTCCATCGTTCACTCCGTGGATATGCTGCCAATTTTGTTTTTTTTTTTTTTTCAAAAACAAAGCGCGTGGCTCTGAGACGAGTGTGCGCGCCCGCCTCAGAGGTGATAAGGTGTAGAACGCAAGGCGACGGGTAGGTGCCACCACCGTCTCGTTTTAGCAAAGCGTTGGAAACACTCGCCTTTTCGTGGAAGCGTTGGATGGTCAGCGCCACGTAATAAGCGCTATATACGGTCCCTAATATTACTTATGTATGCCTTTTCTAGTAAAGGCGCTCATGCAGAATATATACCTGTTGTTATGGTGCCCCAGACACGCGCAATAATTGCTTTTTTAATCTACAATTGCACAAGCATGAACGCTGAATCTTGAGCGACATAGGTGGGCGCTGCAATTGGGGTCGGCCGTTTCAAATACCCGATGCGGTTAACAGTGGACAAATAGATAAATGTACAGACAGACAGACAGACAGACAGACAGACAGACAGACCAAAATTTTTGCTTCGAAGGTGCCCAGGAAAGGCTATCGTCTTTAAAAACAGACCAAACGAAAAACATGCACACACTGCGTTATCCATCGTCAGAACAAAACATTGCTTCGCTTATTTCCTGTCCTGCTTGGGAACTACATCACTCGCGACGAATCTAGAGCTGGAATTACCTGAATGGGCATGTTTTTATGCATTATCAGTCCCTTCAATGCTAACGCGTAATGCGCCTCTTCCCCCCCTATTCGTCGTTCTAACTGGAAGTTTCTATCACGGCGTATGATAACGCAACGAAAGAGACAGACAGAAAGACCTGCATCCGGATGAAAGGTGAAGTGTGCGTCTGGACAGTAAAACCCTCCTACGTAAACTTCTTTTACGGCCTAGCTTGATGGTGCCGTATTTCAGGTTTCAAGAATTCGCTTTTATTCGTACGTAATCCAGGCGAAAGCACAAGGCAAACACTTGCCGAATTTTTTTTCCCACTCGAGATGGACCAAGGATAAAAATGGTGGGGTAAGAGCTAAAATTTTAAATAAAAACGTGCCAGTATGGAAAAACAAGTCATCCCTGCACAGTGGCCTTCGTCAAGATAATCTCATTTTTTGAGGAGCATAACCGTGCTCTTTCTGCGCATTTGCTTGGGCCCCGCATTCTTCGAGCGCAGGAACACGAGGAAAAAAAAACAGCGTGGTAGCATCCCTTTATATTCCCGGTAATAACGCAAGAAAGCGAATAGCGTTAGGAAGAGCTGTAAAAAGTTTTTTCTACTTTTTTTCATGCCTGGGATTCACGGAACGCATCATCTTCCTGGATAAGAGCGACGCAATTTCGTACGGACTACATCGGGCGGCTGATTCCGTCCGGCTTTGCAAGACAAGAATCGGTAGAGGTTGAAAACATTGCTTGCGCTCCTTGGAAGTTCCGAGGTTTCACGTGACAGAGACGGTAGGTACTGCATAACGGATGAACGCTAACCTGACGCATCAATTTGTACACGCCACATAACAATGGAGAGCGCGAAGAGGACGCACACGCGAATCAGGGAGAAATCCGAGATGTCAGGAGAATATACAAGTAAGACCCCATGCCAAAAACCCAATCGTGTGTTGTCTTTTTTCATCACTGCATTCTGTTCTATGAGTGTTTGCTGAAGTAAAAAAAATGAAGAACTGTTATTGAGGAAACTGAACACGCCTATTATGTTATTCCGCAAACAGTGGCTGCATCTCTGCCTCTGCTGATCATCCTGAAAGCTTTTCTTTACCAACGAGGAACAGCGTCATTCACTTTCTTAATTGTAGCTGCATGCTGTGATTTGCAGTCGGTGTTGAACAGCACTTTTACTGCAGTAAAGCATTACAGATGCTCGGATTTGTCATCACGTATTTTTGAAGATTCCACGCACGAA